ATCGTTACAGCATTAACGATACACTATTGGAATTTGTTAAAAGAAACAGGCTGGGTCGGAAGAAAAAAAAATTCATAGTCCAATACAAAAACTACATAACTAGGCTAGGCAACAATCCGCCAACAGAATAACGGAGAAACAGTGAGTAAAAAACACCACGCACTGCCACTGACATTTTACTTTAGGGCAAAACAGAGTGTCCCACCCATAGGATTGCTATCTAAGGTAGGGCCTATGTGATTGGTTATTGGAAGCTAATTCACAATTTTAGCCAATCACAACGTCCTATATAAGAATGAGTCACTAGCAAAAAAGAATCAAGTTTTATAGTAGAGTCGATTCTGATACACAGTTACTAGGCCTACTATTTATAAAGAGTCTTTTGGTGTCGACTCCACAATTGTTTTCAGTTGTTTTCAGTTACTCTGATAGCATAGGGGACGTTCACATGCAAGCTGGCTGCCAAAATGTATTATTTTTAGTTAAAGATGAGTATTATTCTAGTCATGTCATATCAACACGGAGGTCCCCCACGACGCATTTGAGCAGCCCATCTCTCTGTAAAATAATTCAGCGTTTATTTGTCTCCTGGTATGACGAGTCATTTCATGTAAGTGGATATGATTAAACTGTTTTCAAAATACCATCACTCCAAAAACACCTTCATCAAACTAACAATTTCGGGGATGCTAACCGTGAAATAAAATATAATAGAATGACAAGTAAGTTAGCCCTACTCAGAAAAGGTTTGCGTGAGAACAGGAGAATCGATCCTCCTACTTGTTAGTCACACGAGTCGACTCACCTTTTCTAAGAAACATGTTTATTTGTAGTAAGGAAATATCTCATACTTGACCCTGGACCACAAAACCAGTCATAAGGGTTTTTTTTTTATCTGAAAGCTGAATAAATACGCTTTCCACTGATGTATGGTTTGTTAGAATAGGACAATATTTGGCTGAGATACAACTATTTGAAAATCTGAAACCTGAGGGTGCAAAAAAAAAAAAAATCGAAATATTGATAAAATTGCCGTAAAAGTTGTCCAAATGAAGTTAGCAATGCATATTAGGTAATATAATACTATATAATATAATACTATTAATCAGAAATTAAGTTTTGATATATTGACGGTAGGAAATTTACAAAATATCTTAATTGAACATGATCTTTACTTAATATCTTAATGATTTTTGGCATAAAAAAACGATAATTTTGACCAATGCAGTGAGGTTTTATTGCTACAAATATAACCGTGCTACTTATGACTGGTTTTGTGCTCCAGGGACACATATATATTTGTATATGTAGAACTAAACTTCCTAGAAGATAACCTGTGTGTGCATTTAATAGACCATATGATAAATGTGCATTTAATAGACCAAAAAAAATAAAAAAAAATAAAATAAAAATGTAGGCACTGTTCGCTTGCAGAAAGTGATGAACACAATGCTGAATGGTTGTTATTTAAGTACCTCTTTGTAGCCTCATATTGATCACTATATTGGATTGAATGGGACAAGCAGAGCTTCTCCAGTATGACCACTCCAAATGGGATCCTGTTTTCCACCATGAAAGGCTGGAAACATAATCCCTGTGACCTTTCACATGCTGCTTTAGCTGTTCATCATGCTAATGGATTTCTAGATAGTTAAGACTTTTGTCATACAAAAATTGATAATCACTCAAATGGCCCATTTATCCCTGTGATGATTGATTAAATTGCCTCAAGGTCTATTGTGATGAGGGGAAAAAGCAATAAATGCGATTTACAGCCTGTATGCGTTTTCCAAGGGGTGAATTTAACAAATATAGAGGGTTAATGATTACACGGAGTCATGTAGTAGACTATCTGTTCCCTAGATTAATGATTGACCTACAATTTGCGCACTTTGAAATATATTAAGCAAACAAAATCACGCAGATTAAAGATTTCTTCAAGCAAGTTCAAGGCATCTGCAGAGCAGTTTGTCTGACTGCGACACCAGAAATGGTAATGGTTTTTTAAACTGTAATTTATTATAATTACAATTATTAAAGGGATAGTTCACCCAAAAACATTATCTATGTGTCTGAATATGCATGCTTCCCTATAGTATGAGAAAAACAGTAGTATGTCCGAATTCACATATGACCTACTATTTTTAGTGAGATTCTGAAGCGTGCGTCCGATTAACGCTTTATTATCCCATGAGGCTACGGGAGAGGAGTTGTAGTGAATTATTCAACTGATGCTGATAGGTCATGTGACCGTGACAACATGGCAGATAGTAAGTCAGGATTTCATCCATACTACCCATATTCATATTATGTAGAACATACTTTTTTAATGGTCGCAAATGTAGTACCTACAAGACTTTCATCATTTACTGACTTTCGTGTCGTTCCATACTTGTATGACTTTCTTCTGCAGAAATCAAAAGAGAATATTTTGAAGAATATTGGATACCAAACACATTAATGACTCTTGACTTCCACTGTTTGGACAAAAACATTTACTTTGAGACATTTCCCAAAAACAACCACAGGAGAACAAATGTCAAACAGGTTTGGAATGACGTGTATGAGTAAATGATGACAGAATTTTTGTTTTTGGGTAAATGATTACTTTAAAAAGTTCTTAGTTATGACTCCATGAATCACAATAATAACAAATTATGTAAATTATACCGTGCTTTTTGTTCCTGCTTCTCCTTGTTAGTCACTGATATGATTCAATTACTAAATTAAATGGAATTGAAATCCACCACTATTGTAAGCATAATAACTCAAGCCACATTACAGTCAAAAGTGGTGTAACCCTCCTAAGGTGTGACACCTTCCCGTGTAGAAATGGAGAGGGCTCCACCCCAGCACTATCAACCCCACCCCACAAAAGCAGCCGGCTACAGGTAGGTGGGAGCTGGAGTGCACACAGGTGAAATGTTGCTCGACGGGTCTAATAGGAAACAAAGCTTACGTAGCCAGCACAGATACTGAAAGACTGACAGCTCTCTCTCTCTCTCTCTCTCTCTCTCTCTCTCTCTGTCTGCATTGGAATACTGAGCCTCTTTTTTTCCCTCTCTTTCTGTCTCTGGTCTCATCCGGGGGAAGGAATTCTGGCAGAGCTGTTGAAGGGAACTTTTTTTCATTCTTCCCCTCTTTAACACACACACACCACGTATCTCCTCCTTTGGTGTGTAGCCTGCAGTGGTGGGCGCAGACGTTGATAGTGTTTGTGTGGATGTGTGGCGTGGACAGTGAAAAGGAGACATGCTGCAAAATGGCATGGCTGGTGCCATCAGCACCACAACCACCACTGAGATACCAGACCTCAATGAGGTAGGAAACACTCAATCATATGTTGTTGCTCTTTTGAACTCTGAATTTTCCTGACTATAAGTGATTCTCAGTGAGGTGTTTGCTTGCCTGTGTTTGGTTCGGTTTCTGTCCTCTGTGTCTCTCGGCTGTGACTTACGCATTGGACTGTGCCCTAATGGCTCGTCCATATCCAGGCTAATCGAGCGCTGTTGACGTGTGCTGTTGTTCAGCAGAGGGGCCTGTAATAAGAGCCACCGTCCTGGGAGGCAGGGCCCTGTCATGTTTATTTTATCAGGGCCTGGCGCTCAGCCGCTGTTGCTGCGGTCAGCTGCCATTCAGAGACATTCTTACAGCTAATCAGCTGACACCCTCTCAAATGGCGCTAACTGGCAGAGAGGGCATCAAACCGATGAGAACCACATTTTTGACTAGTAGTTATTGATTTGAATCGAATAGATGGCCACATCTGAAGTGGTTAATCATTGAAGTGTTTATGGGCAGTCATATTTTAATACAGTTTTGTTATACTATCTGTCTCAGTGATAAAAAAAAAAATCACTTGGAGCAGCTTGTTTTTTTCTTTTCATGCGTGACTTATCGTAATACATAAGCGTTATCTTTGACAGGACTTAAAGTTTTTGTTTTGGTTTCAGTAAAATTGCTTCCATTTTATCTTGAGATAACAATCATCAGATTGTCCACCTAATTAAACTTTTTTGATTGTGGCTAATCGTTGTTTGTTTGTTTCTCTGTGTGTATGTGTGATGTCTATCAGAGGAGAATCAGGCGTCTCAGATTAACCCTCCGGCCTGAGGACAGTCCAAAATCCCAGAATGAATCCGTCAACTCTGTAAGTATCATTTTAGCATCTTTCAGTAAAGTTCTTGCGGTCCGACAGATTGGCGCTAGCCATCTTTTCACGTCATAATAAACAAACTTCCTCTTTTACCTGACTTCACACAGTCCCCAATCTGTTTGACTAGCACCACATATGGCATGATGTCCTGATAACAGGATAAGCTCAACAAGATAACATAAATGACTGATTTCTTTAGGTTATAACACATCCGCTAGAGATGCTCTCAATCCAAGGTTATTAACTTGGTGTCTGTGGTCCCTGAAAACACTCCTTAGGGTCAGTGGAAAAGATGTAGAAAATATTTTCTTCAATTTATATGACATTTTAAACTATTTAAATATATTGAGCTTTTTATTTTAAAAAATGTTTTGCATTTACAATTTTACCATTTTTACTGTGTTTTGGATCAAATAAATGCAGCCTTGGTGAGCATAAAAGTCAAAAACATTTAAAAAAAAATATTATTTTCAAACTTTTGTGTGGTAGTGTGGATATTTACAGGGGTGGACTTAACATTTAAGCGAGGTAAGTGGCCGCTTAGGGCCCCGGGGAATCAGGGGACCCCATCTGATATTGGTGAAACATATTTGCTGTATTGAGCAATGTAGCCAATCATAGACATATCTCTTGATTTCTTGAAAGCAATGACCAGAAGTGTTTAAGTTAGAATCCACTCACCGCACAAAATGCCAAGTTTTTGTCAAGTGCTGAGTTCTGCGAGCTTGGGAATCCTCTCATTATAACAAAGTGTAGATACAATGTAAAAATAATGTCTGGAGATTTTTGCTTAATAATAGATTACATTTTCGATTTGTTTCTCGGCAAACCCTACCGTATGCCTTCAGAACACTTGGAATATGGAATGAGTTGCATGGGATAATTTTATGTTTGGAAAAAGATTGAAAAAGTTAGCAATTTATTAAATGGACAAGTGCAAGCATTTTTTATTATTTTAATAAAAATTTAAATCTTTTGTGATCCGAAAAAAATAAGGTAGCCTAATATGGCTTTAGAACAGCATCAGGTTGACTAAATACTGGTGTGAAGCGATAAATAACTTAAACTATAAACTATGAGAGCAAGTGAGCAAAATAAGGGTTAGGTGTAAAAGAGCTCATAGTTACTGTGTTGGGGCCCCATACCTGGAATTTGCTTAGGGCCTCCAAATCACTAAGTCTGCCCCTGGATATTTATATTTTATATTTATTTATATTGTATATAATATGACAAGTCGATTGACAAAAACAAAAAAATAAAACAAAAAATAATTATAGGCTTTAATTAAAGGATTTACATGTAGGCTTACTTTTTAAGGATGTGAAAGATGGAATTTCGGAAAGGGGAAATTTTCAACATTGTTTTGTCTGTGAATGTTGGGTCAGTGTTTCAGAGAGATAAATCAGAGACTGTGTCCTTCCTTTTGCTCTGTCACTTGGTTTGTGCGTCATAGATCCAAACTGCCAGCCCGTAACATGCCACGTACCTTTACTGATAAAAAACATGCAGATAAGAAATGCATTCTTGGAACTACATGGAAAGATTCAATAGTTTAATGTCATTTTACTTACTATCCAATATGTTTAGAAACAAGTTACAAGTTAGTTAGAACAAGTTCATGCAGATAAATATCCTTGAGCGGCCCCCAAAGTTCAGAGTCACATGAAACAAAGCTCATGAATTTGAGTCACCTATTTACCAAGGGAGGTAAAGTTAATTTTAAGCTTGTTTGCATATACAGCTTAGTCTGTGTGACAAATTAATTTGTATATTTGACAGTAGTTGCTGTAAGCCTTCTACAGACAGTGGTGTGCTGGGAAAAAAGTTAAGAGAGGTGTGTCTGCATGTAGATGAATGTTTTGATCTGTACCTTGGCCTGGAACTTGCACCATGCACCTCTTAGTCCTTGAAGTTCAACTGATATCCACCCTGTTTGGTCTCTGATAGGAGCTGCTTAGGGAACATCAGGCACTTTCATAAGCCAGAATGAGAAGTAGAAATCCAGGAGCTCTGCCAACATAAAACTGTTGATGGCCTTATCAGTGTCTGTCTCATGGGAAGGGCCAGCTGTGGGCATTTTGCTGTGTGAAGCGTCAATACACAAAACCCAGGCCTGCTTGATGAGCTGCCAGTGGCCAATTCGATCTGGAATTTGGCGACTGGGAATTTCAAGTGAGGGCAAAGATTTCACCACAGATTTCACGTTGAGTTCAAGTTGGTCACATAAATTTGCCACACTGCCCAAGAGAAAGCTGCTTGGTTTGAAAGTGAGTGGCATTTCATACATTGCTTCATTATTGACAATGGACTATGGACTTTTTCTCCTTGTGAAATTTTACTGAAAATTTGCTAATGTGACTGCACCTTTGGCAACAGAGATGAGCTTCCATGGAGCTTTCATTGCCAACATTTGAGAATATAACTTTTTAGCCTTTATGTTAATATTAATTAGTTGGCTCTGCATAGAAAAACCTTCCAGGTATGGATTCTAGTATCTGGGTGATGTCAGGGTTTTTGCATTGATTTTGAATATAGAGGCTTTTCATATGCAGTCCTTTGCATCATAATTAGTGACATACTGTAACTGTACAATTTGAAACCAGGTCAAAGGAAGACTAAATGAGAAGAGGGAAAAGTACAGTCAGGATAGTTAAGTGCAAAATCTAGAGAGCATTTCATTTAACTGATATATTCTATTACTGCCATAACAAAGAACCAAGACAAGAAACCACTGCAAATTTAAGATGGGTGTGTGTGTAATCCTATCCTCCATGGGGATACTAGTCTACCTGTGGTCTGAATTGCCCGAGTTACACCTGTTGGATTACAGGAAGGCCTGAAATTCACATTGACCCAGGGCCAGTTTTTCTCATAAAAGCATTCAGCTAAACGGCACAGAATGACGACGTAACTGGTCTCAGCAAAGCTGGAGTGGGTAGCTGTGCCAACACCACCCACTGCATGCAAACAGATATACTGTTCTGTAAAACACAGATGCTAGACTTGAGTTTACACCCTCGAGCACATCTTTATACAACAACAATAGAGCTCATTGAATAGTGTTCAGTTCAATCAGTAAGATTACGTGAGCAAGGTAGAATATGGAACGGAAAACACATGCTTTTATTACTTGGGCTAAGATGACAGATATATAGTTCAATATTGGTATATTAATATTGTGCACAGAAATATTGTCAAAATGAGCATAAAAGTTTAATGCAGCTGCAGTTTGTTACTGTTGTCTGTCATTGTGGTTCGGCACTTTTAATGGAAGTACATTGTACTGTATGCAGAGAATACAATTCTCACGTTGTTTACAACAGTAACTGTATCTTCTAGCATAAGGATGGTGCTTAGCAAATTTGCTCAAGTAATGATTTTTGATATTTAATTTAAAGATTTAAAGTTTACCCAAAGTGTAAAGTTTTGTCATCTTTTACTCACATTCATGTCGTTTCAGATCCATAATACTTTTGTTCATCTTTCAAACACAAATGAAGATGTCTTTATTTGAAGATGTCTTTATGAATTTTATAATGTCTTTACAAATTTTATTTCAGAATTTTATGTCTTTGTAAACTTTTTAAAGCACCAGCATTTTAATGGAGTAGACCAGGGCTGTCCAAACTCGGTCCTGGAGGGCCGGTGTCCTGCAGAGTTTAGCTCCAACTTGCCTCAACACACCTGACTGAAAGTTTCTATGCCTAGTAAGAGCTTGATTAGCTGGTTCAGGTGTTTTTAATTAGGGTTGGAGCTAAATTCTGCAGGACACCGGCCCTCCACGACCGAATTTGGACAGCCCTGGAGTAGACTTTCAGTGAATGGACAGATTTCTTTTAGGTTTCAACAAAAATATCTTAATTTGTGCTCAGAAGATGAACTAAAGTTTTATGGTTTTGGAGTAATTGATGACAGAACTGTCATTTTTGGGTGAACTATCCCTTTAATATTTTATTAGGAAGTAACCATTTTTTAAAAGCAATAATGCTGCACTGTAATATCAGGATGGCCACCCCAGAAGGTTAATGCCTCTGTCAGATTTATTAGGCTAAATTAAATCCCCAAAATGATTCACAAACATTTCTACACATAACTCATATCACTTCGCAAAAGGCCAAAACTGGAGGTCCTGTTGTCAACATTTTAAATAGCTTTCTCCTGTTTGACTGCCTCAAATTTAATCTCATGGGCTTGTGTTTTTGTGGGTTATCTGTCAAGTTCAGTGAAGTCCAGTGCAGAAGGCCATGAACAACACTGGCATCATTGTTCTGTCTCACTCCCACACATTGCTCCCCTTCAGTCAGAATCAGAGAGAAACATTAATCATATTTTCTCAACATCCAATTCTCTATTTTAATGAAGAATTATTCTCATGTTCGCCCTTAAGGTTGAGACAGAATTCAGTTTCTCTCAGTGAGGAAGCTGAAGCTCTGTGTTTTGTTTTTGAGAGGAGTTCTGAGGAGGTGTGGTCATGATATGAATGAGATTACAGTTCTGAGAAACTATGTCCTGAGAAGAGAAAGGGGAATACCAAACCCTGAGAGTGTGATCACAGCTGGACTTCATCAGTGTTGTTCCACCTCAGTACGATGTGAAAATAGCACACATGAAAAAGATGGAATATGGTTCCTCATAAACAGGAAAGCTTATTAGAAGTAGGATTTAATTGTTGCATAAAGACATTTGGCAAGGGCAAAACCTTTGATAATGCCTTCACCTCAGCAATCTGTGAACACAACATTGGTTGTCCAATTATCACCCCAAGCATCAACATGTCTGAAAAATGTTATAAGACCTATGAAAATAATATGTTACATCACAGGGCGAGAAACCGCTCAATGGTTCCTGGAAAAAGAAAAATGGGCTCATGCAGAGAGAAAGACCACCTGGGAGAGAATCACCTCAACAAGAAGACAAGGTATGACAGCTTCTGAGAACACAAACAAACCCGAATACCATTACCCATGCATATGTCAAGATTAATAATCTGATTCTTCTAATATTTACATGACAAAAAATTGCAGTTGGTAAGATTTGTTTTTACATTTTACATTACATTGTATTATTTAATACTACATTTTATTATTTAATATTACATTCATACTTTTATAATTTAATAAAAAGTGACAGTAAAGGCAGGTATAATGTTACAACTGATTTCTATTTGACATAAATGCTATTCTTTGGAACTTTCTATTCATCAGAGAATCCTGAAAAAAAAAAGTATCAAAAATATTAGGCAGCATAACTGTATTTAAAGTTTATAATAACAAGAAATGTTTCTTGAGCACCAAATCAGCATATTAGAATAATTTCTGAAGGATCATGTGACACTGAAGACTGGAGTAATGTTCAGCTTTACAATCTCAGGAATACATTTTTAAAATACATTTAAAAATAAATTAAAATAGAAAAAAAGAAAATTTTAATAATATTTCACAATATTGCTGTTTTACTGATCAATAAATGTAGCCTTGGTGAGCATAAGAGACTTCTTTTTAAAAAACATTCAAAAATCTTACTGAACCTAAAATTTTGAATGATAGTAGACGGTATTTTTCCACTGGATCCATTATATAATGTTGTACTTTTGGAACATAATAGACTATGTTTTTAGTATATGTTTGAATGTTTTTGTGTCGCCCAGTAATATTATCAGAGTAATTTTATCTATGATAGTGATGGTGTTTAAAACACAGGTGCTGGTTTCCCAAAAGATATTTGAATTCAGTGTGTTATTGTTTGCAAAGCAAGCATGAGCTGAAGTGTATCTGCACAATATGGCTTCAGGGCTTTCTTTGCACAGTAAAATGCTTGTTCACTTATTAAACATATAACAAAAGAGCTTTCTTAAGCCATGCAAAACATGAAATATGACTCCTTTAGTGACCCAGTGTAAAAGGTCCCAGAATCCAGAACCAGAATAAATTGTAAGGCCATTGATCCTCATAGCTGTGCCCTTGAGCGAGATCTTCTCACCTGTAGTTGCTCCTGGGGTTTGCTATTATGACACCTTTTTCACTTCACTTTCCCCTTGGCATTTTCAAGAAAGAAATATTTTCTCTATGTACATTCACTGGATAATGTCAACAGCATTCCAAGTTTCAAGTTCCCTTTCATATATTCAAGTTGAACCTGTAGACATAAAAGTTTTTTTTTTTTTTATTCTTTCCGACTGGCAGGCAGAAATATGACACCCTCGCTGAGGACTATTCTGACTGTCTATATCCCAACCTCTCATTGTGAACACTCAGCAGCAATGCTTCTAATACCAGAGCATGTCACTCGCAAATATAGTCTATCAGTCTTATTTATCAGCCATGATGTTCCAATAGGTGTACACACACTCAGACACACAGCGGTGACATTGGTCTTCACAGCTGTAAACACAACAGTGTCACACTCTCCTTTTAAACACATTCACAAGCTGAAATCTGAGCCCTGTGGTCCTATTCCCCCAGCACCATGTGACCAATGGCATCGGTCGGGAACAGCCCGCTCAGCACGGGCCCAGAGTTTATGGCGTGGTGCAGAGCACAGGCACCAGCCACCAACAGGAAGTGATGGCACGCGAGTGGTCTGTCAGTCACCTGAGGGATGAGATGAGGTACATCAGAGAGGTAAACTCAGAGACTTTTCTTTTGGTACCTAGCTAACTGTAATTTGCAACTAGAAGACTAGTTAGCATGTTATTCAGGAATGTACATCCAAGCAGATAACTAAAAACCATCTTTCTTTTCTCATAGGTACGTGACTCTTTGGAAAAGGTCAGAGAGCGCATGTATGGCCAGTTTGGAGGGATGCAACAATCAGTGCAAAAATTAACTCAGGAATTAAAGGTGAGCAAAACACGGCAAGAATATCATCTGCCACCAAACCTTACCCTGTCAGGCTTCATAAAAATGCATTTTATAGTGGTATGACAAGTTCTCAATGTGCTGACTGTGTTTGTCCCAGGCAGCCAACTCTCATAAGCGTTACCTTGAGTCAGAGGTGAGGACGAGAAGGGCAGGTATGGATAGCTTTGACCAGATGAACAGCTCCCTCATATCAGCAAACATTGATCTACAGGTACACAATCAATGTGGTCACTGCCAGCTGACAAAGGCTTGTTCTGTCCAGAGGAACTCGTGACATTTTTTAGTCAACTTTTGAATGTAAATGTGTTTTAGAAATCATTGCTGGAAAGCTGTCAAAATCGTGTGGGGAACAGAGATGAGATGAGAACTCTGCGCAGCTCGTTGGAGAAGACAGAGGAGAAACTCAAGGAGACGGAAAGACAACTAGCAGCAGCACAGGCTGAAAACCGCTCTCTCAAAAATCAGGTGCACACACAAACAGCTGTTACACAACACTACTATTATCATTCAAACCATTCATGTTACAGACAACCTAATACCATGGTACTTTGGACTACATTTTTTTTGTTATCATTTTTTATAATTATTGTATTTCTTGTTCTTATACTTTTTTCTAGTTATTGTATATACAGTTTTTAAACCTCATATTAATTGAGAGACTACTACACTATTAAAAATACAGGTTCTTTAAGTCAAGTCAAGTGAACTTTATTTATATAGCGCTTTTAACAATACAGATTGTGTCAAAGCAGCCTTACAGTATCAAACAGGAAAATAGTGTGTCAATAATGCTAAAGGACAATAGTAAACACTCAATTTTCAGTTAAAGGCAGTTCATCATTGAATTCAGTGATCTATGGTTTGTAAAAGTTAATAGTAGTTAAAACTTAAAAAGTAAACAATTATTTGTCATACACAAGGACTATTTATGTCATCTGTAATCTTTACTGCTAAAAGGTGATTTAGAAAAACATAAACCCTTTCTGAACTATTTATTTATTTGTATTATTTACATTTACATTTAGTCATTTAGCAGACGCTTTTATCCAAAGCGAGTTACAAATGAGGACAATGGAGGCAATCAAAATCACCAAAAGAGCAATGATATACAAATGCTATAACAAGTCTCAGTTAGCTTAAGGCAGTACACATAGCAAGTTATTTTTAAATTATATAATAAAAGTCTGAAGTACAAAAGTCTGAAGTACATAAGTCTGAAGTAATGAATGTAGGTAAAGGGGTGCAGAGCCAGTGGTGGTTTTGTAGGCAAACATCAATGCCTTGAATTTATGCGAGCAGCTATTGGTAGCCAGTGCAAATTGATAAACAGAGGTGTGATGTGCATTCTTTTCGACTCATTAAAAATGTATCTTGCTGTCGCGTTCTGGATTAATTAATTAATTATTTAATTTTAATTAATTTAATTGTTATTTTATTTATTGAATTATTTCATACACATATTTTAATCAAATTATATTATCATAACAATTACTTGAATAAAAGGATAGTTTTACTCAGATTTCAGAATTTTGTTCTCCAGCATGTATTGAGATCTAAAGATTCAAGGAGGAAACAAAGGATTTCAGTGAATTTGTTTGAAGTTAAAAATGTTACTTTTTTTTTTTTTTACATAAATAGCATGGTTATTAACATGTGACAACTAAATTGCATTTTGTACATAGGTGGAGACTTCCAAGGAGGCCAAGACTCAAGCATTAAAAGACCTGAGTGCAAAGCTACAGAAGGAATATGAGGAACAGCTGCAGGAACAGCAGAGGAAATACAGAGAGGAGATAGAGACTCTGCAGGTACAGATATAACCAAACAACCAGACACTCACAATGCCTTACTGTCCAACTAGTTCAGCAAGAACTGCACTGCGTGATAATGAGCGCATTTACATGCACGTTCTTAAGCCGATTATGCTTAATAAACCGAAAACGCACTTGGTCATGTAAACGCGGTAACCCGTTTTCTTTGATCGGAGTAAGGTCATAAACGCCGTAAGCATAAACCGGTCGCAACAGGTAGTTTTTTGCCTCTTACTCCGATTTCGCACGGCATGTAAACGCAATAACCCGCGTTCTGTCGGCTTATTGAAGTGCGCATGTGTGATACGTGACAGGAACGCATCGTTAGTGCAGATTTAAGCGCATCTAGACCGAGCATATGTCTTGCAGTAAAGAAAGAAGGAAATGTATCACAAAAGCAGACTTTTTCATGACTCAGAAAATTATAAAAGATGTGTTCTCATCTCGTGCAGCAGAAGTAGAAGTGGTTCAGTCACAATGCTGCGTTTATAACTGCATGAGAGGATAATATATGAGCTGTAAGTTTCCCGACATGTTGCAAGTTGACATGTTGCAAGCTTAATTTAACATCACAACTGACAAATGTATGGAATACT